TTTGTTCCAGTCATCCCATCTTTTCCACGTGCACAACACAACAACCGAAACTTCAGGTGTGAAAAAGAATCACCCGCCTGGAATGACTCATTTTCCTTTAATTACCACAAACCTGAACAACACTTAATAATGCCTGGCGATACTTTTAGGTTTCCACAGTAAATTGCTTTGCCATGCTTTGAAAGGACTGCTTTAAAACATTTCCTTTCCCTTAACCTTCCTGCACCATATATACTCCCCACATTCTAAGCTGATAGCCTTCCTCATACCTCATTAATCAAATAAGAGCAGATGGCAAAGGCCTCATGCTCCCTTCGCCAAGTCAACAAACTTACCTGCCTCGTCACCCATCCTCTTTCCTACCCTGTCCTTTCACAGCTGAAAAGATGTCCTTACTTCTATCAAGGGCCAGTTCCTTCCTTTGCACTTGCTGGCTCTACTATTTTCCATTTTAATTTCAAAACTCTGCCTTTGACCTAACATCCTCTGCTTAGCTGTCATCCATTTTCCTATTGTTTTTCAAAGCAACACTGTATACCTGACTCTGACTCCTATTTACTCTTCAACCCACTCCAATTTGGCTTCTTTCCATACTGTTCCACTGCCTCAGTGTGGGAGTCATCAGTTGCCATATTATGAAAGATAAAGGGCAGTCTTCTGTCTTCATCCCACTATAATTTTTGACTTTTTAGAAATACTTAACTCAGCCAACTACTCACTCATTTTGGAAAAACTTTCCTTTTTGGGCTCCTATGAAGCAACTTCCTCCTAAAATGACTTTCTCTCTTCTCCTACCTAACTGGCAACTTCTTTCAGTCTCTGTAATTGTGTCCTTTTCCATTTATCCATATATTTTAGATTTTATTTATTTATTTGAGAGAGAGTGAGAGGCAGCGAGAGAGAGAATAAGCAGGGAGGAGAGGGAGAAGCAGACTCCCACTGAGCAAGGAGCCCGATGCGGGACTCGATCCCAGGACCCTGGGATCATGACCTGAGCTGAAGGCAGACGCTTAACCAACTGAGCCACCCAGGCGCCCCTTATCCCCACCTCTAGCTGTGTGAGTGCTTCTCTCATGGGCCCTTTTTTCTGTGCTCTCCTTAAGTGGCCTAACCCACTGGAATATAACCTATAAACTGATAACTCTCACATTTGTGTCTTAAACTCTGATTTCTGTTTTGAGCTGGAGACTCAAATATTCGATCACCAACTTGACATTCTGCCTTGGAGGTCTAATAGGCATCCCCAGCTTAGCTTATCACAAATATTACTTCATGTCTCCCCCAACCCCAAAATTATTTCCATGTGACATGGAAAGGCAGTACCTTTCTCACAGTATTTTAAGGAGAAACATGTGACTCTTCCTTGGTTATATTTTCTAGTTTATCCTCTTTATCCAATCCATCCATAATTCTTATTGATGGAAATACTTTTATGTCTAGAATGCCAGTGGTGTCCTCTTAGATGCTGCACCTGCATGTAATATAGAAAGGGCACAATCATCATTGCTTCACTCACCAAAATATATCTCGAAATGGATTTCTCTCTTACCCTTACTGCCACCATACTAGAAAAAACCAACATGAGTTTTTACTTGGACTACTGCTGTGGCTTCCCAAATGGTCCTAACTATGTTTTCCTTCATTTTATTTTATATGCAACTGTCAGGATGATTTTTTAAAAATACAAATTGCATTATGTTTCTTCCTCAATTAAACACTATTTTTTTTTAAGATTTTATTTATTTATTTAAGATAGAGAGAAAGAGAGAGCTTGAGCAGCGGGGAGGGGCAGAAGCAGGCTCCCCCTGAGCAAGGAGCCTGGTGCGGGGCTCGATCCCAGGGCCCTGGGATCACGACCTGAGCCAAAGGCAGCCACTTAACCAAATGAGCCACCCAAGCACCTCCTCAATTAAACACTTAAAAAACTCCTTGTAAAGTCCTATATGATTTGGCTCTTGTCTATCTATTGGACTTCATCTTGGCCACTGTCTCCTTGCTGGTCTCTTTCCAGGTTCCTTCTTACTTTGGCCTTCTGTTCTCTTTGCCTAAAATATTCTTTCCTCTCAGCGTGCCTGGATACCTCTTTTCCTTCAGTTGTAAGCCCCCAAATCACTTCCTCTGAGAGGCGTTTTTCTGCCCAATCAATCTAAAGCAACACCTCCCCATTTCCACAGACTTCTCTGCTACAAAACAATGACTATCCCCTTCATAACAATTATCACAGTCTCTTGTTGATATAAACATCATGCATTTTTTTTACTTAATATCTTCTGTCACTGTGTAGGATCTGTAAAGAAAGGGACATTATCTTGTCACCTCCTATTCTTAACTCCTAGGATATCATCTAGGACAGCTCTTCACCAAATATTTATGGAATCAAATATTTGTTGAGTGGATAAATGACACTGAAATAGTTGCAAAAATATTATTGTGTCTATTTTAAAGTTTAGGCTTAGTGAAATTAGATGACTTGCCCAAGGATATGTAATTGGGCATGATTGACCCAGATTTCCAGGAGTCAAATCCTATTTCTATTGGGCTGTGTTAGATGATACAATTTCCATAATGGTTCAGGGAAATCATGTTAAGACCTTGTAGAACTATCCGGTATTTGTGTTGCACAGGAAGACGATAGGAAAAAGATCAGAAAAACTGTTCCTTTGGACACATGGCATCATGAAGAAAAATGTAATACCTGCTTTTGATGAGACATGGTACTGATGAAACAACTCATTTATTTTAAGCAGAGTATCTTCCAGGAGTGGCAAGCTCTGTAGGAAACAACCAATAAACAGACTGATGGGAGAATAGCTAGAAAACTACATTAAGGTAGGTGACAATTGGTTATGTCACAAGGTTGTGTGGATAGAAATAGAAAAGACAAAGCTATTTGGGGCCAGGACTGAGAGTCAAGTGAACTTAAGAGGACTTGGCAGTTACTCAAGAGCAGAAAATTAGTTATTATAAGTGGGGACGTTCCAGAAACTTGTAAGTCTGAGCAGAAAATCAAGAGTTTGGAGTTAAGATTTCCTTGATGCTGTGGAGAAAAGAAGCTCTGGTACTCTTGATAGCTGATTTAGAAAATGAAGTGAATCAAATAATTTCAGATATCAACTGAGGCAATGCAAGTTAAGTGGATATAATAGAAGCAGTAATGGAAAATAGAGCCGTGACCTCATTTCCTTCGGCAGAGGGATTTTGCCTATTTTGAAAACCTTGGTTTGCTTGAGAAGGCAGATAGAGCCCCAGGTGTTAAGAGATCCTGATAGATCTTAACAGGGACACAAAATTATTCTATTAGGAGAAAACAGCACAGTGGTCTTAGCAGTATCAATATATTCATTCTAACTTTAAATGAATGCCGTCTTTATAGCAAATTTTCTTAATAGCGTTTCTTATTTATTCTGTTGTGTTAGTAATTGCTTTTGTGTAACAAAAGCAAAACTGATTGGAAATCATTGATCCTAGTCTTATCACCAGTGTTTTAGGATATCTTGACTACCTGATAGATTTCTCATATAATAGCAATTTCCTAAAATTATAGATATACAGTTCTGCAAAATCATATTGAAACTGACACAAAATACTTTATCTTTCCCGATCTCCCCTGCCTTTTTGCTTTTTACAAAGGATACCCTTAACTGTTTTTGCTCCCCGTGGTGGTTAGTTTTATGTGTCAACTTGGTGAGACTCTGGTGCCCAGTTGTTTAGTCAAACACTAGACTAGATGCTGCTGTGAAGATATTTTGGAGATGTGATTAACATTTACAATTAGTTGACTTTAAGTAAAAGGTTGCCCTCCAAAATGTGGGTGGGCTTCATCCAATCAGTTTGATTCCATAAAGAGCAAAAACTGTGGTTTCCCAGAGAAGGAGGAATTCTGCCTTAAGTCTATAACATAGAAATCCTGCCTGAGTTTCTTGCCTGCCAGCTTGCCCTGTGGATTTAAGACTTGCTAGCTCCTACAATTGTGTGAGGTGATTCCTTAAAATAAATCTGCGTGTGTGTGCATTTCTGTGTGTGTGTGTGTGTGTGTGTCTTATTGGTATTTCTCTGCAGAACTGTGTTATACTTCCAATGTGTGGATCTTACCAGGTACCTGTGTATCAGCTTGGACTTTTGTTTCAGGGATCATAGATTTCTGTAAGAGTAAATTTTTTTTTCTCGTTGGTTTTTAATAACTTTCTTGAGGATAACTTACATTTTCTGAACCTTTGGTGGTAACACTACATTAGATCATCCTCTTTGAGAAACAGTCTTATAGTAAATTTTTGGTAGTTCTCTAGGAGTATAACTGATGACATTGTCTGAGCTGTGCCGAGGCTTTTGTGCTTGGTCTTGTACAGGCTAATTATCTTCAGTAGCCCTCCCTGAAGTATTTCAAAGAACAATAAAGCTTTCCAAGAGTTGGGATGAATGTACAATGCAACAAATCATGCAGCCAATCAACACTGGATCATAATGGATAACTCATAAACTTTCACTGTAGGTGGTTTATGTGATTTTTGCTTATAATGAAACTTGACCTGCCACTTTCTTTATCTCACACACATAAAGCAAAATACTTTTGTAAGTTTCCCCATTGGGCTGACATTTTACTGTCTGAAAAAGCACATCCTCTGCAACCTTAAGGAATTTATTGTATGTTGTCTCATGCTGATTACTTAAGAAGTTCTCATCCCTTGAGCCACCGCTCTTCTCCACATTGTTCTCTTTAAAACTCAGTTCTTCATCTATGACTAAAACAGACCTCTCTAAATTTCTGGTGTGCTTCAGTGCATTTTTATTGGTGTAGTCTATTCAATTTTAGACCATCTTTTGAGTACCCAACAAATAATAATTACTAAGGTAACCATTGAGTACAGAAAGATAAATAGATACAACAAGATCAAAGTCTTAAAGGATTTGGGGAACTAAATAAATCACCCCTATTTGTTTTCAACATGCTTATTTTGGTTTCAAAATAAACCTGATTTCTTGCCATGTTTCTTTTCCTTTAGAGATTGGGCCTGCTTCAGCATACACTGAATTTACATTTATCATGAATCCAGCTAGCTTTCTTGGTATGAAAGTAAGATTCATTGGTCTGTACTTTTTTGGTAGTTCCTGAAATTCTCATAGATAGAGATATCATTAGTGTTTCAACAAACTTCCATATAACAAATTGTCTGATTTAGGAAGCAAGTAAACTGATGATTTCTCAAAGGTGTAAAGAAAATACTTTGTTTCCCCAATCTGGAAAAGTTATTTATTAGTTCAGACAAATGTTTGCTGCTAGTGTTAATATTATAAAAGTCAAAGAGAGCATATTTTATTTTTATTTTTTTTATTTTTTATTTTTTTTAAGATTTTATTTATTTATTTGACAGAGAGAGAGATAGCGAGAGCAGGAACACAAGCAGGGGGAGTGGGAGAGGGAGAAGCAGGCTTCCTGCCGAGCAGGGAGCCCGACGCGGGGCTCGATCCCAGGACCCTGGGATCATGACCTGAGCCGAAGGCAGACGCTTAACTACTGAGCCACCCAGGCTCCCTAAAGAGAGCATATTTTAAATATGAAGGAAAATTTTAAAGGAAGCATGAAGTAACACTAAGATATATGATACTACATAGTATTATATGCATTTATGTGTATAATTACATATATATAACATACATATTATTTATTTATGAAACAGAATTTACCAATCCTGGCTGGTGGTTTGACCTGAACATATAGGTTAAGGTAAGAAAATGATCTTTCTTGAACAGGGTTTTGTACATTAATAAAAAAAAAAGTTAGGAACATAAGCAACGGGGAATAATGGAGAAAATCCATTGTACTTTAATGCACATAACTGAAATGTAGTGGGATGATTCTTAGAAGGAATGTCAAAATTAATAGGTGCAGTCTGTGTGGGAGAGAATAAAAGAAAAGAAGGGTGGCAGTTTGTGCCAAAAACATTTATTAAGCAACTGAGAGTCTTTTTGAAATATGTAAAAGGAGAAGATAGTTTGAATAAGCCCATAAGCAAAGAAAAGTTAAGCCCTCCTCAGATATTCCTGTATTGAGTTTAAATCTCATATTGGTTTTGTGGACTCTTTCTTAAGAGGTGTTTTTTTCTACTTCTACTTCTGGGAGCTCTGGAAAGGACTGGTTGCAATAGTAACAGATCATCTATTATTTTCACTATTTGAAAAGAGGCCTATGCAAAAATGGAAGGATTCTAAGACAATTTTGCCATGCTGTGTAGTATCCAGTACGTTTCTACCATTGGCTATATTAGTTAGGGCTGGAATAAGCTGCTTCAGGTCTTTATCACTTATCTCTCAAATACTCAAAAAATATCCCTCCAGTAGACTGGTCTCTCTAAATCCTTTAACTTACCTCATTGATCAGACTGTTTGCCTGCCTTAGCTCAACACTCTTGTGTGTCTGAGGTATTTTTGCTCTAGTTGCACCTTTTAAAATCCTACTCACCTTGCAAGAACCCACTATCTACATCTTCCCCTTGTGAACTCACTGCAACCCCATAATGACTCCCATCTCTTTTCTCTCATAGAAATCTTATAGAATTTAATGTCTGTATTACTCATCAGTTGTCCATCTGGGTCTTAAGAAGCATCAGGCTAAGGAAACAGGTTGGGAATTAAGAAACTGAGTATAAAATACAGAGGTAAGATTGGATAAGCAAGCAAATACACACACACACACACACACGTGGAAAAGCAAGACAGTAAGATCAAAGTGTATGTATACCACCAGAAGATCAGCAGGATTTGAAGGAGGGTGTCAATGTAGCTGTCAAAAGTCTAAGAAGAGATTGTCTAGGAAAATCTCAGCTTTTCATATTTCTTTCTAAAGCTAATTTTTAGTGAATTTTAGGTCATAATTTTTTGCTGCCGCAAAGCACCCAGCACCGGCAATTTACTTAGTAGGTATTCAGTAAATCTTTTTTGAATAAATGAATGAATAAATCACATGATCCTTCCTGTATGTTTACAAAAGGATGCTTATCATTCAGGATAACTGAATGCAAGACTGATTCAATTCTCTTTGGGATTCTAAGATTTCTGACTGGCTCATTTTGGGGTGGGGAGCATTTTTCATAAAATCATGAATATTGGAGTTTGAATAAAATCATATTTCCTCATTCAACTTTTATTCTACAAATGCAGAATCTTTTAGGGCTAGTGATGAGGGATACCTTAAAGTGTACATAACAAACCCCAACCTTAAGTATGTTCTTCATGGAAAAAGATTTCAATGATAAATTAATATAAACAGGGAAAGATTCTTATTTTTTAAATACAAGTCAACAAATAGTCATTAAATACTTTTTGTGTGTGTTTAAAAAGGATCTGTGCTAGGGTTAGGGATATGAATAAGACATACAAGAAACCTGCCATCAAATAGGTTATCTTCTGATTCTGAAACAAGAAAATGGTGAGGCTTTATGTGTGTTTTCATTGAATTGGAGGCTAATCATGGAGACTTCTAATTCATATCACAGTGAAATTGGTCCAAGAAAGGATTGGGAGCTTAATTCTATCCCTGTGCATATTTTTCTATGTGATTAAGATACATGTTTTTTCCTATTCTGCTGTTAAACAAAGTGTACCTGGGTTTCTGTTTGCTTAACTTGAATGTGTGTGTCTCACAAATGCCTGTAGGTCTGCATGGCTCCATATACTGTGGTCAGAATCTCTACTCCTTTGGATTCTGTTTTTCATCACATCATTTGAAAAGCTATTAAATATTTCAAATATATAAAATGTTTAAAAAATGATACAACCATCAGCTACCCACTTAAGTAAATAAAACCTTAAGAATACATTAAAATCTTCTTACATGTTTGCTACAGAAGACTAATTGACACAACATGAGAAAAACTGAAAGTCAGTCCACTGCTAAAATCTATTGCAGTAAAAAAACATCAAACATTACTAAGGCCTAATTTGTCTTAGGCACTGGTGATATAAAGGAATTGGTATATGCCCTCTGGCCCCTTCTAATTTACTTTGATGGGCTATACCTATAGAAGGTCTATTACAAATTCAAGGATGTGAAATAGGTTTCACATCATGCTTCAATAATGATTAGCTGATAATAGTTGTCTGCAGGGCTCTGTTAAAAAGATTCCACCCAATGGCTTAGCCAGAAAGAGTATCAAGAGTGACTAGTGATGTCTAGCATGGGCACAGCAGGAAGGACTGAAGCACTGGAATTGTGTTTGGAGTATTTGTCATTGTCTAAGAGCCTACTAAGTGGTATAGTAGCACAAACTGAAATGAGTAGTTATCCTGGGAGAGGTGACATTTGAGCTGGCCCTTGGAGAAAGAAGCAGCCCTAAAATTAACTAAGAGTTAATTTCAATGAATAGAAAAAAGGTAAGCAGAGATGAGAAGCTAGCAATATGTGGGGCATTTTAGGGGTTTTAAGCAGATGTGTTAGGCTAGGGTAGGAAATACAATAGGTGAACTGTTGAAAACAGAAGGTTAAATAGTCTTTCATCTAAATTTCTGCTTAGGACTTAAGACTGAGAACCAAACAGTTACATGGCAGGTATTCCCATATCCCAAATTAAGGTGTTAGACCACCTAAGCAAAACTTACAAATAAGGTGTCCAAGAACTCCCACAAACAGCCTAAAGGAGCTTAGGGAGACTAACAGAGTGTTTGGTGTCAGAATTGTTGAGGTGCTCTCAATCTCATCCCTTCCCTCATGGGGATAAGGAGGCATACTGCTTTGACTCTTTTCAGTTGCATGGGCTTCAGATGAGGTTGTACATACTTGGATGTTATCATTCAAGCTGTGCAGCATTCAGACATGATTCTCTATCCCTCTCAGAGATTCTGTCAGCTGTTTGGGGACTAGAGAAGATGGGTGTTATGAACACTTGAAAAATACAAAGGTAAGAGAAGAAGGCTGGGGTTTCTTTCTCTGACAGTAGAAAAATAATTGTTTTTATATTTGTTTAACCTGCATTTGCACAATTTGATGGGTGTGAAGTTTGTGTACATGTTTACTAATAACCAAAAAAGAACTAATTGAAAGATTTCCAACCTGGCATTCCCTTAGATCCTATCCAAGAAGCCCGAGTGGGTTAGGGGAGGAGATCTCCGCAGAAACAGCTGGGTGATGCACGGAGAAATTCCCAAGAGCTAAGGGAAGACTGAAGTAGCCATTCTGAGGAGCTGCATTCATCTCGCATGCAGAAATACATTTGTGGAATTCCTAGCGATGAAGGTGAGGGAGGTCTCTGAAAAATACCCAGAGCTTCATATCTTGGTCAAGATTCTTCACTGCAAGATTAAGCAAAGAGGGATTTATTATGCGTTATTTTTATAGCTTACACAATCTTGGGAGTTCCAAGAAACCAGTTATGAATACTATAAGGCTAGAAATATCAGTAACCAGGAAAAATAATCAACCTCATCACAGAACTGTCTTTTGTATCAGAAAAATTACTTTTTACATAGATTGATGCTTACAATGTCAGACCAAATTCTCAAACGTCCACTAGAGTTATTCTGAAGAATCAAACACCTCTGCCTGTAAGAAGAGCCCATTTCCTCATTCATGCCCTCTACCTCCTATTTCTCATGTTCTCTGGCTGGCATAGAATTTAGGATTCATCTAGTTCCCTAGCTATAAGCTAATGGTAATGTAGCTGTGTTAGTGTTCTAACCTGGTTAGTATAGGAAAGATACTAAAATAAATAAATAAATAAATAAAGTCTGGTGCAGGTTCTAAGGCAGTGAAACTCCAGTATCTACCACATACTTGAAGAAAGACAGCTTTAGACATTTTAACAACCAGAGGAATCTAATAGCAAATCACAATATGCCTATGTAGGAAGACAAGTAAGCATTTTCTATTATTGATTTCTAATTTAATTACATTTAAGCCAGAGAATATACTCTGTATGATTTTGATCCTTTTCCATTTTTCCATTTTTGTTTAATGGTCCTGTAAGTTATTTGGAGTTTTGAAATCTTTTATATTTAATATAATTGGTCAGGTTTAAATACAACACTTTGATATTTGTTTTCTATTTGTCCCATATCTACTTTTCTTCTTTTTCCCTCTTGTCCTGAACTCTCTTTTGGATTAATTGAAAAATTTTTTTTGAATTTTAAATATTTTTTTTAGTCCTCTATCTTGGCAT